CGTCTCCGAAGAGCTCGAGCCCTGCCGGTGGGAGATTCTGCCGGCGAGTGGCTCCGACGCGCCCCAGTTCCGTGTGGTCTTTTGACTTTGCTGTCGGAGAGTATGATTTATTGTTGTTTAAAGAAATCCCCTTTTTGTTGCACTCTCTTGTAGAATACTTGTTATTGATTTAAACTTAAATCTTATCTTGTCTTATCAGTTCTTTTTCTGTCTCATGTTGGGTTTATTGGATTCCTTTGGATATGTGTGGATAAAGAAGGTTGAATGCTTGTAGGTTTGGGGTATGTGATTAACTTGTGTGTAGTTAAAAAAATCTTGCTGTGTGTTTGCCTTTGTACTGTACTTATTTTCATGTATGGTAAATTCATAGACACCGGGGCTTTTATCGTTGGATCAACACACGCCCATATGTGTAATTCGATGATGAACTCACTACACCGGTAGGATCGAGTTTTCCTTATGCTTCGTTTTATTCGAAGTACCTTAAATGCATGCATTTTAAACGAACTCATAGACATGATTAGTAGTCTCCTGAGAATTCTTTGGATTGATGGATAGTCCTTAAAAGTTAAAACAGATTCTCTTATGATTGTTTTCCTATTTTGATCCCCCCTTTTCTTCTGAGTAATTTTCTTGAATTTCATTTTTATCATTTACGGTATACCTAGTCCGTTGAAATTCTTTTTTGTAGGTTTTTCTCTGAGATTCTACCTATTTTCGTTTAAACATTATTCAACCGAGCTTGGCTCGAATTCAAAATGTTCGAGCTCGGCTGAGTTCGGTTCGAAACTTTTCAAGCAATTTTGTAAAATCACCATTAAGTGCATATATTAATATTATGATACACATACATACAAGGGATATTTTAGTAAATTTAACATATATATCGAGACGCTCGACAATGCAAAATTTGGGCTCGAGCTCGATTCGAGTTCGTGCTCGAGCCCTCAAGCTCGATTCTAGTTCGGTCAAAGTCGAGCTCGGGCCGAGCTTTGATAAGTGTCCAGCCCTAGTGTATATTAAGCAGAATAGACGTTCGTGTTCCCTTGATGTGGAAATAAGGACCCAGGCTTTCTTATTCTTCATCTAGTCCAATGTTGCTGAATCTAGTAGGATAAGTCATTGTGAAATATAGATGATGTTAAACATAACGTTGCGATTGATGCGGGATTGGCGTCTTTTAAGAAGTTCTGCAGTTGGTTTTAGTTTAGTCTTCCCTTTATCCAAAAAGCCTTAGAAAGTTAACAAGTTTGGTGAGAAGAACTGTCACGGCCAATATGCAGGTTTGATATCGAATGCCTCTGTGTAGAATAATATGTAGAGTATTGGTTGTGATAATTTTAGAGCTCTTGAAAGGTCTTGATGCTTTATCAGTTACGAACCTAGGAATGAAAAGCAACCGATGTATCTGAAAACTTGATAGATTTCAATTTTGTTATGTTAACACGTTAATTTATCAACTTGTGAGCTAAAATTTGATGAAAAATAAAAGTTTCTTTGCTCCACAAACAGTTAATAGGATAAGTAAAGGCGAAGTACAAGTTCATTAATAAAAAAATGTATTCAGTTTTTGGCGAAGTCGAAGTTCATTGATAAAAATTTTATTTTGCGTTTGCCGGGAGTCGAACCCGGGTCTATTGCTTGGAAGGCAATTATCCTAACCGTTGGACTACAAACGCTAGCTGTATGAAAAGTCACAGGTTTACATATTTTACTTACAAAGAAACTATTATCAATCAGTGAAGGTAATATAATTATAGTCACAGGAAGGAAAATCTCCCTATATATAATTCTCGAATTCGTTGAGTCTACGTGGCTGTTTTTGGTGCTTCAGAATCCTACTTGGCGAAGAATCATGCTTCATAATTAGGTTTGGACAAATAATATTGATATATTAATAATTAATAATCTAGGTTCGGACATTCCATAAATATTATTTAGCTAACTTAGGTATTTAATATCACTTGTACTAATGTAACTCTTTAATTCTTTGTAATTTTACATAGTGAGACACTAAGTGAATAATATATCCCTGACTTTTGATTTGTTTCCTTCAATTAGCTATTGAATTATAAATGTATTTTAAAAGTTGATAACTTTTGTATTTTATCGGTTTTACATATATAATATATCAAATTAATCATTTTTTAATGATCTTCGATTTGACATCCATATTATATATATGAAATAGATAAATAAATTATACTTATCTTTATAATCATAAAATAATAATATTTATTAAAATTCATTAGAAAAATAAAATTATTTCTCAATTTATATATTTATGTTTAATGTAGTTATATGTTGTAAGTTAAAAATATTATTATAATATTACACAGATAAGTCGCACAAATAAAAAGTGTCATACTAAATATATAATAATATATTACATTTTTATAAAAAATATTTAAATTTTCAACTACTTTTTCTTATTAATTTTAGATTTTAAGGAAAAAATTAGTAAGCACCGTGTAATACACGACGTTGTAATAGTATATATCTATACATGTAAGTAATATTGTGTACTTACTATATACTGTCAACAAAACCGTTTGAGCTCTTAGTAAGTTTCTAAATTCTGTAGATTTCTTATATAATGCTCGTGTGTGTAGTGTACTCTGTCCATCTCCAACTTCTTAAAATAACTATAGGGATCTCTCGCACAATCGACCTATAGTACCAAAAAAAATTATGTTTAAAGATGATATTCCCAAATTTTAAACAAACAGGACAATATTATATATTAAAAGACTATCGAAAAAGAACTTATGCTCACAAATGCACCTAAAAATATTGATATATGGAAAAAATTGATCCCAAACAGGATTGTTTACACGATTTTAGTTTTCGAAATCAAAGATAATGGTCAAACATTGTTTCTGTGATGACCTATAGTAAAACTTCTAAGCTTTTTTAGTGGTTTACAAACTATTTATTTTGCTTGTGTAGTTAGTTTGAGCACACCGGGCCACCAATTATCTAGATTTTCAGCATGTACGAGCTCACAACCTATTTTGTAATAGATAGAGATATCTGCGCACATGAGTTAAAATTTTATAATAGCATCTCATTATTGAGAAACAATGACATATAACAATTTCTTCTTAAAACAAATATGTTTGCCTTTTGAAAACGGATAATACACTTGCAATTAAATAAATTATGATATAACAGTTGACATGAGATGAGAAAAAGTGGATGGAAGACAATAACTGAATAGGAATTTAGGTAAGAAAAAGAAAAGTGGATCCTCATATCCAAAAGCCATTCACGTTTGGGGTCAGTGAGATTTTTTTCAGACATAAAAGAACATCTAGCAACAAATAAAAAATACTAAATGTTGAAAAAAAAGCATCCCAAAACTACACATGCTAGAGTTAGTGATGAGACCATGTTGCCTAAAAGTAGAGGGAACACACTTCCTTTAATAACTAAGTTGATAATCAACCCAATAAATAAAATTATTTGGCCCAAATAACACAACCCAAAATTATATTCACCTCAAGCAAAACATATAGATAGTGAGGAGTTGGCCACATAACATGCCAGGAGGGTCATACGCCCGTTATTAAGATATAGATGGCAGAGACAACTACAACCGGAAAATATCTGCCTCACGTTATTTTCCCATTCGATGACGGAAAGAACAAGAAAATTCGTGAAAATAGCACGAAAAGGAACCTACATGCCGATGTTCACGATTTTGATAGCCATACCAGTAATTTGGAGGAGATCTCTCGAAAAGTATTTAGTGCCCATTTAGGAAGAAACTGAGGAAGAGTAAATGGAGTAGTTTTATTATTTTATGGCATTTCAGTAATTTCAAATGTATATTGTTTGCAAGGACATAAGTATCTTTAAAATTGTACATGGATTTTCCACCTTTGTGTGGCCTTACTTAATATGAAATGCAATATTTTGTGAGGATTTAAATACATATTTTGGTGTGGGTCATATACAGAGGCGACTCTTGAGGCAAGCAAAAGAGGCAGTGGCCTAGGCCTCCAATTTTGAGAGGCCTCACATTTCTTTTAATTGTATGTATTTGTTTGGGTTTGGCCCATTTACAAAATTATGAAACTTAATTAAGGTTAAGAGATAACAATATAATTGTGGCTCCTCTTTTCACCTTCAAGTTTCATCCAACACGAAAATAAAATAGATTAAAGAGCATATTAATTCTTGATTCAAATCACTTACATGGAGCGTATTATTTATAACTTAGCATATTACATATATTCAAGTTTTTGATTCATTTTTT